ACAATTTGCTCAGTTGGCCTGCTGGACAGGATTACATCTGGGAAAGGACTGGAAGAATGAAGGGTTTTTGTGGTATGGACAAGCAGGACTGAGGAAAGACGACAGAGGTGGAATGCACAGGGGCGTTGTAACGGGACATCGAAGGCAATGGATTCATCGTTACGGTTCAGAAACTTTATGAAGGTCTGGTTTTAAATTTGCGATACATGCACCTTCTTCCTTAACTTTGGGCACGGTGATTGGAATGAGCCTGAGAGAGACTGCAGGACTGCTCACACCTGATTACCGTAACGCCACGCTGCAGGACGGAGGAGAGAGGACTTCCGAATCCTTCAGAAATGCTGCCATATGCCTCTCTGTCAAAACTGCTGCAGAAGAACTGTTGCAGAAGCAGATATGTGATTTTAAGACTGCCAGAGATGGACATGAGACTTTGGACTGCTAACTTACGATTTATTCCGCACACGTACCCGAGGCCTGTTCTCAGACGGGCCTCGAGTCGTCTCTGTACAGACGTTTCCTGAGAAAGATGAGATCAGTAGCTCGGTGACTTTGTGAAATCTGTTTGTTTTGTCAGGCAGCATAAGGGCTCTGTTAACCAGTGTTTACCACCAACACAGACGCGACGAGAGGAAGTGCAGCGTGTGCTGATGTAATGGGCTGTGGTAGAGTTTTGCTGTTAAGGTCAGTGAGATGTCACATTATTGGCCAAAGCACAAGTAGAGCAGTTAACAAACCGTAAATACACACGAGACATTTGCACTTCCTAATCAGACCAGAGACAGGAGGACCACACGCAGTTGTAATTATGTGAATGTAAAGTATCTGATTTGCTTTATGTGCATCCTCTTTACCACTGCAGTTATTTGTAATGAAAGCCACCGTCTCTGTGGAGCGGGAGCAGAGTACTTAATTTATTATAGAAATTAACCAAACTACTGAATTAATTCCAAGGATTGTGTCCCTGTTCTTTGTGCTGAAGGCAAAATTAAAACGTAGACAAGGTTGGGCTTTTTTAATGTGCTTGGAAAATCAACTTCCTGTCCGAAAAACAGGCGGCGAAAGAGTGTGACGTGGTCGTAATGATGGAGTGTGCAGTTATGTTTGGTTTCAGTTTAAAATGTTCGGTTTCTATGCATTTGTTTTCTCATTTTCTTGGCGTTGAGTTGAGTCCTCTGTACGGGATTTCTTTGCCGCATTATAAAATGTTGCCCAAGTCACCAGGTTTACAATAAAAGCACAAAGAAGTACAACATTTTCTTTGACAGCGTCCTTCCCCTGCTAACGTTAGCATGTGAGCGAGTCTGTAAATGTAAATCCTGCAGAAAATGGTTGATATTTAAGCTCCCCTCGCATACAGATCTCTGTGATCTGTGAATGCTTTTCAAGGACCTTTTGTGTTTTGCGAAATTTGGTGGGCGGGCAGGTCGGTGGCTTCGTTTTTGCACAGTACTGTCATGTACGTAACTCTTTCTGTTCTAAACTGTCCATCGTTAAGGTGGAACTCCATGGCCTTAGGTTACACATAAGTGAAGGGTTGATATCTGTTGCTAAAATGTGAGCACAGGCGGTAACAGGCAGACTGCAAATGCTGCTGCTGAGCTGTCAGACATTGTACATGTCATGTAATGAAGACTACAGGAGGTGTATCAGAAAATGTCCCAGTACACTGTCACAAACTAATAAATGAACTGTGTGTGTATCGTGGTTCTTTGGTTTCCTCCTGGCTCTTAAGCACGTTTCGATCTGCGGCTCCTTGCAGTGGAAAAGCAGACGACACATATCCTCTGGTTTCAGTATAACTGTGGTTATAAATGTGCCATCGTAACTCATTCAGCTTCCGTTTTCCACCAACGCTAGTCTGGAACCATAGTTCATGTTTCCTGATTCAACACTGGCAGCAGCTCCAGTGCCATGAAGAAGTATTTGCTGCCTCCTTGGTCACAGTTTTTTTTTTGTTTTTTGTTTTTTTTGCACGTGTTACACATAAATTCTTCAGATTAGATTACAAAATGCATTTATTAGGGCAAAAAAGCTATCCAACTGCATTAACTGCATTTGTTTTTGGAAGTTGAGTTCAATTTCACTAGCCACACACAATACATTATCCACAAATGGGTAAAACCTAGAATTGTGACGAACATTCCCAGGAGTGGCGTAACAAACATGAGCCAAGAATGCAATGACGGGCCACAAAACACCCAGAACAACACAGAACTGTGGGGCTCACTTCCTTCAGTTAAAGGTTATGATTTAATAATAGGAAATGGGCTGGGCAAAAATGGCATCCATGGCCGAACTCCATGGCCGCCATGATGATTCCCGAGACCTTCAGGAAAATATTCTATTGACTAAGGAGATAAAAAGTTGAACTTTTTGGGTGTTTTTGTCCCGTTAGACCTGGCGTAAAACTAACAGCCTTTCGTAAAAAGAACACCATGCCAGCAGTCAAACACGGTGGTGGTAGTGTGAAGGTCTGGTGCCGCTTAAACGTGTCATTACTGCTAAAAAGTGATTCTGCAAAAAATAGTGAACCAAAATTCCTCCACAGTGATGTGAAAGTTCTTGGTGGGGAAGTACTTTTCACACAGGGCCATGTAGGTTTGGGAAGCCTTTTTCCCTAATAAATCCAATAAAAGGACTAGATCTTACAATCTCTGATAATGCGTTGCTTCAAATGGAAAGTC